TATGTGTCTGTATGTATGTATGTGTCTGTAGGTATGTATGTGTCTGTCTGTATGTATGTGTCTGTCTGTATGTATGTATGTGTCTGTATGTATATATATGTCTGTGTGTATGTACGTGTCTGTATTTCTGTATGTATGTATGTGTCTGTATGTATGTGTTTGTTTGTATGTATGTATGTATGTATGTGTCTGTGTGTATGTATGTCTGTATGTATATATGTATGTGTCTGTATGCCTGTCGTCTGTATGTACGTATGCATGTATATATGTCTGTATGTATGTATATATGCATGTTACGGATGTTAGTGTATGTGTGTATGTATGTATGTTATGGATGTTAGTGTGTGTGTATGTATGTATGTATGTGGGTATATGTATGTATGTATGTATGTACGCACGTGTGTATGTATGTACGCACGTGTGTATGTATGCATGTATGTCTGTTTGTATGTATGTGTCTGTATGTATGTATGTATGTATGTATGCGCGCGAGTGTGTATGTATGTATGTATGTATGTAAGCATGTATGCATGTGTGTATGTGTATATATGTCTGTATGTATGTATGTATGCGTGTTTGCATGTATGTATGTGTGTGTATGTATTTGTGCATGTATGCATGTATGCATGTTTGTTTGTATGTATGTATGTGTGCATGTCTGCATGTATGCATGTATGTATCCATGTATGTATGTACACGCGTGTGTATGTATGTAGGTTTGTATGTCTGCGCGAATGTGTGTCTGTGTGTATGTGGGTAGTGTATGCATGCATGGATGTGTGTATGTGTGCATGTATGCGTGTGTGCGTGTGCGTGTGTTCTGCATGCATGCACCCATGTATGTATGCATGTATGTCTTTGTTTTGTGTATGTGTGTATGTCTGTATGCATGCATGCCTGTGTGTGTACGTGTGTTTGCACGTATGAATGTATGTGTGCATGCATGTACGTATGCATGTGTGTAGGTATGTCTGTTTGTGCGCGTGTAGTGTAATGTAGTGTAGTGTGGTGGTATGTATGTATGTATGTATGTGTGTATGTATGCATGCATGGATGTATGTATGTATGTATGTATGCATGCATCTATGTATGCGTGCGTGGTTGTATGTATGCGTGTATGCGTGTGCGTGTGTGTCTAGATGTATGCACCTGTGTTTGTATCTTTGCGCGCGTGTGTGTATGCATGTATTTATGTGTGTATCTGTGCATGCACGCAAAAATGTTTGTATGTATGCATGCATTCATGCATGCATGCGTGGTTGTATGTAATGTAATGCAATGCAGTGCAATGCAATGCAATGTAACCTACTGTAGTGCAATATAATGTCACCTAATGTCATGCAATGTCATGTAATGTGTGTAATGTAGTGTAATGTAATGTGATGTAACGAAATGTAAAGAAATGTAATGTAATGCAATGTAATGGAATGGAATGTATGTATGTATGTATGTATGTGTGTATGTATGAAAGTATGTATGTTTGTGAGGGTCTCCATGTATTGGTCCGTGTTTTTGTGTGTGCGTATGTGTGCGTGTCTGTGTGTGCGTTTAATTAAGTTTGTCTGCTTGTATGCGTGTTTGTATCTATGCTGTGGATGTGGTTGCATCAATGTATGCGCGTTTGCTGCGTGCTGCTTTGGGGGCCTGGCCTCGTGGGGCAGGGCTGATTTGCTTGCTGTGCTCGTAGGGCATGAAGTGTGTGTGTGTGTGTGAATTCCTTGCAGTTGGTTCGACGCCAGGAAGAGGCGCAAGAGACCCGTGGCGGGTCGCAACCCAGTGCTGAGGTTGTGGGGAGGTGAGTGCATCCAGCGGCCGCGCGTCGTGGTCCTTGTGGTGTTTTTGTTGGCCTGGTGGCATTTGTGCGAAACATTTTCATGCCACGAGGCGGGCAAGCCAGCATGTGAAGCTCGAGATGTTGGACCCTGAATTGGAGTCCTTCCTCACCAAGGCTGGACAGGTTGGTGGTGCAAAGCCGCCCTTCAAGGATTCTCCTAATGGCAGCGACGCCACAAAATGCAGTGGACAGCGCAGAGAATCTAGTCGTTTTGACATTTTGAATCGCGAGGCTTTCCAAAAGCATTTCCTTCTGAAGTCCGTGCCGGCTACAGAATACAAGGCGGCGGGGTGCTGGTCAAACAGTATTTTGGTAGCTCGCAACACAACATGTCAATTGTCAAACATGTTCCATGGAAAAACACTGAAAACGCAGTTTGCGTGTCGTTTATTCGCCTTGAAATGTCAAAGAAGGATGTGGTTGCCGGAGCAGGGGCAGGGCGTGATGGGAAGCAACACCGTCAAATTGAAAAATTGTGCCTGCTATCATGCTGGATCATGCTGAACCTTTTCCAAAATAAAAGACAATTTATGCTGTGGCTTGAACCTTCCGTGTTTGACGATGCATGTGGGCCATGGCCCTGCAACAACATTACCAACAGAGGCTACCCAGGTTCCCTGCACCATTGCAATTGACTTAAGAAAACAACTTAGGCTATCTCTGATGGTCTTTCCAAAAAAAACTAAAAAAAACAACTACAAAAAGCAAAAACAAAAACACAATTCCAAAAAAACACTTGAAAACGGAACAGACCAAAACCAAAAAACAAACAAAACCAAATGAGAAAGCAACAAGAAAAAACAACGAAACAAAGAACGAACAAAAAACACATGAAAAACAAAAAACAATGGAAACAAAGCAAAAAACGAAAAACATACGGGCAAACAAAAAAGAAACAACAACTAAACAACAGAAAGAACAAAAAACAAAAAGAACGTCAAAAAAGGAACATTGCCTTCGCTTGTCATGTTTTTTGTTTCATTTTATTTTCATTTTTTTCATTTTTTTTGTTGCTCGTTTCTTTTGTTTTTTTGTTTTGTTTTTTTTTCATTTTTTGTTTTTATTTTTTTAAGTAACTATTTTCAATATTCACAGAGTTAGCCTGGGCCCGGCGATGATAACAATTGCCGTTTGCCAGCAATGCAGCAGGCCCATGCTGTTTCAACATACATCCGAAACAAAAACACAAACATACTACCATTAATCTACTACCTCAAGGGTCTTCGACATGAGTTTTGCAATCTCCTCTTTGAGTGCGTCGACAGTGCGGAAGGCGTTGAGCTTGTCGATGAAGGTGAAACATGCCGTGCCCGGCGAGGCCGAGCTGCGAAACGATTTCTGTACAGTATCAATGCAACAAGGTAATATGCAACAACCAATTCAACAGCTTTTAATTGATAAACTGAACAATCAACAATGTTTTGGATGTTTATCATGAACATATATTCTTAATCGAGAGTGATAATTCGACGGATGTGGAAACGGAACATGGAAACATGTCGCAATTTGAAGTATTTTTGCATGTTGTTAATCCAGATTCAATATTACACACAAGTCAATTTTTCAACAATACATCGTTATTGATGATTCGATCGAGGTCATTGTCCAACAGGGCGACACGGCGGAGTCTGTTTACTTTATCAGGTCAGGGGCCGCTCTGATCGCCTTTTTCGTTGATCGTCACGTCTCCATGTCCACCATGGAGTCCATGGACTCCATGTGTTGCGCTCCTTGTGGACGCCACCCCATTGCTACACGCGACTCGAGAGGGCTTTAGGTGATGCAAGTCACTTCGGGAAGTCTGGGTTGGATAGATTTGGATATGGCCCTTTTCTTCACACTTGGTGTTTGGCGTGCGCTCTCCTTCCACACCTACTGGATCCTACTGGTCTTCAGGGTTGTGGTTCGATATCAGGAAAGATAGTTTCAGCTGTATCTTGGTTTTCCTTGCCTTGGCAAACATGTCTTGTGATGGGAAACCCTGTGAATCTTGTTGATAGCTCCTTTGCTTGGAAGTGAGAGTTGCCCATGCTGCATGGACACTAAAGTCTGAAGCATTGCTGCACAGAAAGTCACTACGAAAGAATACACCTGTACCTTCCTGGTGTTGCTTTTCGCACCCCTGTACAAGCCTACAATCTGCCATGTGTCACCCTCGATCTCAAGTGCTGCACCAGGGTCACTTTGAAAACGTCGAGACAAACAACTCTTCCAACATCTCTATGCAGTGATCTCACACCTCTGTGAACGAAACGCACAACATAACGCGCAGTCTTGGCGTGGATATATATATATATATAGTTATATAATATACTTTTTATATTGAGTCTGTCCTATTACCTGTAACAGTCGGTAAACAATCATCACTAGTTATTTAATTGAAAGAAAGGCCTTTACTAACTGTTCCTGGTAACAAGATGGACCCATACAAAGACTGATATGCACACACAAATCGATGGAGCACGGACAGCGGCCAGAATGGTGGTGCCAGATGGTGTTCACATTCTCAGAGTAGAACTGCTGATTTTGAGTAGAATTCTCAGAGCTCGGGAAGATCCCGGAAGCAGTTCACACGAGGTATGGCCTCACACGTGGTTGATGTTTGGTTCCTTCGAGGTTGTTTTGTGCGAGCGGAGCATTTGTTCTTTCTCCCGGAGGCATGGCACCTTTGTGCTGACCCAGGACGGGGTGCCACTCCTTAACACACTCGGGTCCAGCTCTCAGGGGGTCTCAGCCGCAGCGACTTGTTTCAGAGACTGGCTTCGACCCCCGTTCCGAAGAGATCCGAGCTCTTCCGGAGAAAGCTCTCCCAGGTCCCAACTCCCCATTGACACTGGGACCTTGGGGATTCTTCCTCCAAATCTTCTTTGAGCTTTGGCTGCGCTGAAGACGGGATCAGCACAGCACAGTCCGAGGCCCGGAGACTCCTTTGGTGAGTTGGCCCTCTTGTACAGTGTGCCCTCCTCCGTTCGGGGGGCCTGGTTACAGCACAACGTTCAAACGGTAGGTGTAAAACACAATGGACCATCTTGTTGATCAACATGATGTCTGCCAACCGTAAGATCATGTAAGATCCAATATTTTTTCGTTCAATACTTGGTGACGGTGACTTTGCAAATTGTTGGGCAACCCAAACAATCTTGAATTCCTGGCATTTTCACGAAAGGTAGCCTGGTAAGGACTACCTTGAGTTTGCTTTGCGAAGCAAAGGGACTGGCTTGAGAGCTTGCTCGGGACTAAAGATTGGTGGACCAATGTCTTAACACCCCCACCCCCCCCCTTCCCACGTGATGAATCATTGATAAATCAATTGATTCGACCCCCCCCTCCCCTCCACTCCCCTCCCCGTGCCCTCCCCTCGTCGCCAGCACTACTAGCATTCTGGACATAAGGTGAAGTCATGCGCTTAGCAGTCACAGCAGTACGACGCTGGCCATGAGGTTGCGCTATACAGCACGGCCCTGCGCAATGAGGTCGCGCAATGCGGCTTCGATGCCGCGCGTGCGCACCCGGCAGCCTGACACAGCGCGTACTGCGTTCACAGACCGTATTGCTCGACACCAACGAGCATCGATGCAACACAGCCTCTCTGCAAAGCCCTGTGGAGAAACCCCTCGCGTCGCGGAACACCATTCGACTCAGCCTTACACCCTAGCGTGGCGAAATCTCACCGCATCGTGGAGCACACCCACCATAGCGTGACGTCCATCCCTGGCAGTACCGGCCGCACCCCTCCAGCACTATCCTTACAAGGGTTGGTCACTGAGTCACGGCTTCGACGCAACGCGTGCAGGCCTGTAATCGTGACACAGTGCGTGCAGCTGTGGGACCATAGCTGGTACACATGCGAGCGTTCACGCATTGCGACTTTTACGCGCGCCTGTTTTCAAACACCTAGAGCGTCGACGCAACGCAGCCTCTCTGCAGAGCTGTGTGGCGCAATCTGACCGCAACGGTGTCCCTCTTGAGCCTTCTTGTGCTCTCTGGCTTTGTTGGTTTCATCCATGATTGACCAATGGGCACATTCCTGAAGCACCGGAGACAGTCCCTCACCAGAAAAGGTCCCGACAGCTACCCGGTCCGTCTCTACCTTTCGTGTTTCCCCGCTCAAGTTGTTGATGAAGCCAAACCTGACCCTTTTCATACACCTCTGGCAGCTTCATGAGTAGGTGTTGGCAGTTGAACACCTTGATGCCCACGTATTCATGCAGGTTGACCATCCTCATCATTTTTCATCCATACCGGCACCTTTTGCACACTTATGACCACTTCTACTTTCACTCAGTCCACCATCACGGCGAGCGAGAGTGGCGAGCTTTGGAAGATGGACTGGCAGGGTGGCAAGGGAAGAGGGTAAGCAGAGAAACACTGAGACAAAAGTACAGAGACAAAAGGACAGAGACATCGAGAGAGCCAAAGAGGGCGATACAACCCAATTGAACTGAATTCAGAGTTGAGAGATCGTCGTCACACTCAGTCAATTCGTCCATTTTGAAGCAGGCCAAGATACAACTACAACTCATTTGAATTCATTTGACACTAGCCATGCCTGAGCTCCTGAGCTGGACTTGGAACACACGTCGACGAGCTTTGGAGCTCGGAGGAGAGGCAAAGATTCCTCGAGTGCAAGGAGAAGCTGAGCTCCTCGCAGATGGAGAAGGCTCAGCTCCCCTCCTCACGCGAGTTGCAAAGATGGAGAAATTCTCAAACGGTTCTCCTCCAATGAATGCACATTTGCGTCTTTTTTTTCCGGGTCTTGCCCTTTTTTGGGCTTCTGCTTTGCCCTTAGGCACTGGAGTTCTTCCAGGCGTGCCTAGATTTCAGATCCCTCAAGGAGGCAACTTCGAGTCATGTCGAGTTATGTCGAGTTCTGGAGTTGGTGGTGCTGTTGCTTCGACAACAGGACCATCAACTCAAATGCAAGCGACGCAAGCGACGCAAGCGACGCAAGCGACGCAAGCGACGC